TGAGCACGTGACTTAGCATCCCTGTGCCTCAGCATTGCATCTATAAAATAGAGATGATGTTAACAGCGCCTATCTCAAAGGATTGCTCTAAGAATTGTATGAGCTGATGTAGAAGCAGCAGCTAGAACATTGTCTAGCACATAGTAAACACTCTATATGAATTTGTTCTCATATACTAAGACTACTTTGATGACTACATATTAAGATTTCGTGGAAAGGCACATTTGTATAAAACTATTGAACTTACATTTGCTTTTTGAAAAGGAAACACACAAAAAACACTCAATTGCTTTTAAATCTAGTATTCAGACCTAAATGCTCTTAAATATCTGCTGCAAATCTCCTTCCCAAAATGACAAATTCAGTTGTCTCCCAGAGGAGCGTGATGGTTTTTCAAAGGGCACACAAAGCCACACACGTAACACGTGTGTTTTTTTCAAAGAAACCAATTAAAAACTTACTGTGCTTCTTCTTGGAGCTAAAATTCTGCTTGACAATTCGAAGGAAAATAAAGGAACGAAAAACAGCAAACTGATTTTTATATTAAAACAAAAGTAGATAGGTTGTGGAAGGAAGTGAAAATTCCATGAATTTTCAGGTTAAACGAGCCCTTAAAGAAATCTCATATTTGGACTTCTGCTTGGGGCTCAGCCATCCACTGCCCCACACGTCGGCCCACAGATGGCCTGGGAGACTCGTGTCCAGAGGCTCCAGGACACGAACCTGGTGAAGATCCCCAGGGTCAGTGCTTCTCAGATGCTACGTGAAATTTTTTTTTTTTAATTTTATACTTATTTCAGACTAAGAATCTTATAAAGTGAATCTTACAAAAATGAATTCTTGGAAAAAAAAGAAAAGAATAAGACGTACAAAATGCAAGTCCTGTTTTTTAAGCTATTAGGTTAAGAAGACAAAATTACTGTGTCAAATTGCTATAAAATTTCCTAAATGCAGACCTCCCGCTCCGTACTGATCTGGTTGTAAACTGTAAGGAACTCTTTGATGCCTAGGCCACACTGGAGTCGCTGCCCCAGGCGACTCGAGGGCGGAATCTTGAGCTTTGCTGACCGAGACACGGAACTCTGCAGTGTGGTGGAGTCCGGGCTTCTCCCTCGTTAATTTCCTCCTTGTGCAGAACATCGGACCAGGTTAGAGCCCAGCAGTGAGCTTCTCTGACTTCCTGTTAGTAGCTCCGACAGGCTGGGGCCTGGACCACCCTCTCTGCAGGATGCATTGGGGTCCTTAGCATCCCCAAGGTCCTGGCCTCAGTTTCAAGAATTACTGGATCTGAGTGTTACATATTTGCTAATCTGTGCCTGTGGGAGGTGAGAAGCCATCGGAAAAGCAGCAAGGAAGTGAGATGATTAATTTCATGATTGGAGGAGTTCATGTCAGTGCAATGATCTCGACCTCTCTGAGAATCCACTGGAAGCTGCAGCTTGTCCCACTAGAAAGTCCGGCGGCCCACATACGTGTGTATAAATATAAGGGTTCAGTGATTATCTGAAAGCCATCGAGATGGCTCAACATACAAACCCAAACTTCAGGGTGAGTGTAGACTGCTAACTAACTGGGCATCTATAAACAGCCCTGCCTAGACGTACGTCCAACTTCTCTTAACACTTTTGTCTCCATAGTCACTGCAATCCTGTCTTCCTTCTCACACCCTCCGGCCAGCCTGACTCTTAGTCCTGTCCGTGCAGCCCCAACAGGCAGGGGCTTTGGTCTGTGAGGCCCGGAAGGGGCATGATATGATTAGCTCAGTCTGCCTTCTCATTGATTCTGGAAGCACACCAGGCCTGCCCAGGACAAGCTCTCCCTAGTGGTGCAGCCCCTGATTGATGGGCAGACAGGTGGGTCCTGGCCCTCCCATTATGAGGTAGCGTCTCCTGGAACGGACAGCTCCGCCCGAACTCAGAAGCAGTTTAATGATGGGCTTCGGGTAGGGGTTACGGGAGAGACGGTATTACTAAGAGGAGGGCTCGGAGCTACAATTTCCAAATGCTTGGGGAGGTACTTTGAAAGCCAAGAACCATTTCAGAAATGCAGTGGTTTTTAGACCTTATCTGCCTGGCCAGGATGTCTCAACTCAAGATGCTGAGCTGAACACAGCTAAGGAGTCAGAACACCGAGCTGGGCTGAGGAGACAGCATAACGGACGTGGCTAGTTGCCTTCCTGATATCTGTTGCCCTATTTGTCTTTTCTAACTGTACCCCGATTTTGCTCAGATGCAACCCAATATGTAAGAGCTGACACTTGTGCTTGTCTGATGCCATGTCCTGTGCCCAGTGTTTATTAATTTATTCAATGCTCATAACAACCCCATGAAGTGAGTAGATTATTATCTCTATCATACATATCAGGAAACTGAGGCACAGAGAAATCAACAACATGCCTGAAGCCATATAGCTAGTAAGCGGCCCAGGCAGGAATTGAGTGCCAATATTCTGGCTCCCAAATCCAAGCCGTTAATCATTGGAGGTACTGTATTGCCTTCATGCCATCCCCAGCTCAAGAGGTAGGTCTTGATTAGTCTAAGCTGATCAGAGCAGGGTATTGTCCTGTTAACTGTCATGGGTCCCTGCCAGACACAGGACCTGAGATGGACCAATCAGATGGAAGCAGGGGCTATAGCACGCAGCTTGGAACAAGGAGGTATGGTGCTCCGTGTTGTTGCCCCCTGAAGTCACACATGCCAATGCTGGCGATAACAGAGGAGAAAAATGGGAAAAAATCTGCGTCCTTGTTGACATTGTTGAGCACTGAATTAACTCGCCCTGGAATCTGCCCTACTTCTGGGCAATATGTGTTATACAAAATAATGCATCTTCCTGTTGCTTCAGCTAGTTGGCCTCCGTGACTTGTTTCTAAAAGCATTCAAACTGAGGTAGATGCGTCTTAGAGGTCTGTGAGAGTGGGCATTGACTGAAGACCAGGATGCACACCATGGAATACCAGATTAGGTTGAGGATGTCCGATTAGAGTCTAACTCTCAAGTCTTTAGGGAGAGGTTATCTATCTGGCAGGTCCCCAAGCCCCTGGTCGCTCCTCTTGCTTCTTATTATTACCCAGTATGTGTCGATGTGCACACATGCATGCACATGATGGTGCTACTTACAAAGGATAGGGCAAAGGAAAGATAAGGGTTGGGGAATCTTCCTTCTGGATCCATTGGGCTTCTGTTAGTAGTTCTGACTAAGGTTGGGTAATTTATCCAGAATCCTACACCTAGTAAATGTCAGAGCCTGGATAACAAATGCAGGAATGTGGCTCCAGAGCCCATAGATTAGCCACTATACACCTTCTTAGATCAAGTTCCCCAGAAGCAGAGCCTGAGACAGGGTTGAGGTGCATGATTTATTGAAGGAGTGCTCTCAGGAGGAATGGATCCGGGGGGACAGGCCAGGGGAGAGAGCCAAGCAAGGCCTCAGCTGGAGTCCAGTTCTAGCCTGATCCCAGGAGAAGCTCTGGAGTAAGACTTACAACAAAGAGTTGGCCCAGCTGGAGATGGACCCTTACCCCAAGACACTCCTGTGTCAACCAGTCAGTCAGTGGGCTTCCCCCTGGGTGGGGAGGGGGGAAGGAAGATGGTATAACCTTCTTGGCAAGGAGGTTCCAGTTAGCTGAGAAGGGAACAGCTCTGAGCCCTTCGCAGTCAGCACAGCAGCTGGGGGACAGATGTAACGGCCTGGTAAAGAGGATCTGGATGGAGCACCAACAAAATCTACTGCAGCTTCTATCAGTACATGCTATTCCCTTTGTCTAGAAACCTCTTCCCCAAAATTTCAACCCACTTACAAAGGCACAGACATCTCTTCCTTGACTCTTTGTCTCCCAGTGTCCTGTGAGCTCCTCAAAGATATGGCCTATATCTTATTTCTCTTAACATCAACATCCCAGAATTGTACACACCCACATTTCCCTCCCCTGGCCCAGCACCCAGCAGATGCCTGGCACAGAGGAGAGGCTTCAATAAATATTTGTGGGATGCATGAATGGAGAAATGAATGGATTTCATGAATCCACATGCTGCTTATTTGGAATTTGTGATACTTTGGAGAGAGGATATTTATTGAGTAAAAGTTTGGAAAAAATACTCTAACTTCAGCTTTTACTGCTTATGTAGTTCATTACTAAGGAATGCAAGCCTCTACTCCTTCTCTCTCACCCCATTACTTTCCACATTCTATAATATGTAGAATAATTATAACTCAAGAAACTGCTTTTCTTATAAAGAAACAGTCAACCTCTGCTCTAATTAGACCTCTTGGTTAGTTTGGAAGAATTTTCTTCACCCCCCGGACTTCCCTCCCATCCCCTACTCCTTAATCCAAAAAATGTTTCACAAGACTTGGTGAATGAGAATTTCAGTCTTAGTTCAACTTATGTATAATTCTTGAGGATGAATTGTAGGACACAGATGCTTCCAAAGAAAGTTGGTTCTCTCAGTAAAACGCAAGAAGAAAAATGATGGTCATTGATTTAACTTGTCTTCCATTTGATGATGCAAGTGACTTTCACTGGATACCCAGAAATTTAAGGCTGGAATGCATTGCGCACAGTGAGGGTTCTTGCCCCTGCTCCCTCATGGAAAGGGTGCCAGAAACTTGGCCAAAGAAGAAGTACACTTAGTGCAATATTTCTCAAAAGTTGTCCCTAACAGCAGCAGCGACAGCACCTACCAACTTATTGGAAATGCACATTCATTCGCCAGCCCCACCCCAGACCTCCAGAATCAGGAATTCTGGAACGATGTCCAGTAACCTGTGTTTGAACAAGCCTTACAGGTCATTCTGATGCTGCTTAAGTTTGAGAACCACTGGCCTAATGGTTAGGCGGCAGGCAGACCTTGTTTAGATTCTCATCTGTCACTTTGTAGCTTATGAAGTATCTCCTGAACACTCACTCGCCCTATTTGTAAAATGTGGGTGAAATGGTGTGGCTCTGAGAATTAACAAGTCTATACATGTCAAACTCTCAACACAGTGCCGGGCACAGATTTCTTTCTCTGTTGTTCCTATATTGTGGGTGGAAGGAAGAGAAACATGGAGAAGATGATAAGTCCGAATGTTTTCTCTGTGTTGGCTTGGGAGGCCAGAGGAGAGCAGTAAAGAGGAGGGGTTGGGATAATAGGGAAACATTTGAATGTATGATGCAGGCTAGAGGGCGACGGGAGAGAGCCCTAAGGACCCATGTATCCAGCAAATGTGCATTGAGGCTTCTTCTGGGCCCTTCAGAGGGTTAGGGGCTGAAGACCAGAGATGAGCAAGATGGGCATAGGTCCTGCCCTCGGAGGGACTTACAGCTCAGCAGATGGGGTGGGAATTGTGTTCCCTGAAGCCAGAATCCCACAGAGGGTTATCGTGGGCAGGGGGCACCCAAGCCATTTTCTTTGCAGGGACTAGATCTATAGGTTCTGATGAGCTAACACTCAAGCCAGAAGAGTTCCATGGGTGGATAGGAGAGGATGTGGCGTGGTCTGAAGACATCCATTGCCTTTCCCTGCTAGGGTCTTCAGGGTGACTTGTTAGGAGAATGTTTCTCCTCTCTTCCTAGCGGCACTCCGTACTCCTCTCCTGAATAGTCCCCAGTTCTTCATTCCCAGCCTCTTCGACCAAGCCCTTGACTCAGAGTTCATCCTGAAATATGGACATGTCAAAAGTCAGGACATCAGAGGAGAAAGGACACTGAGAATTATGGCGATGATGACACACAGTAGTTCCCACCCACTGAGCGCCACTTCCTGTATGCCAGACGTGGGCTATGCTTCTACATGCCGCCCATTATTTCATTCTCATAGCAACACCAGGAGGTCAACCATACTGGTTTTTTTCCATTTTACAGATGAGAAAACAGAGGTTTCCAGAGATTAAACAACTTGTCTGTGGTACCCATGGACATGCAAACCCAAGTTTACACCTGGGGAAACTGAGCCCAGAGCAACCCAGGGCAAGGGTTTTCTCCAGGATTCACAACTACCAAGGACCAGAGTGGGGACTGAAGCCCCTCACATATGAACTTTCGTTTACAGCAAACCACAATGCAATAACAGTTTCGGGCAGATGGTTAAAGTCCCTTCAAAAAAAGAAAAAGAGATTTCGAAAGCTACTGGTAACAACGGCTGGGAAGTCCTGGAATTTAAAATTTGTCTTAGCTGATTTGCACCATCCCCGCAGCCGGGTTTATATAGAGAACGTATGGTCCACACTTTGATTGCCACGACTCATGAATCCACACAGCACTCCCTCTGCCCTACAACAAAAATCCTTTTCTTCCCTGGCTATTTAATATGCGAGGCAGATTGGAACATTAGCAGTGCAAAAGGGTAAATAATCTGGTAATTGATCTGGGATTTGTGGATTTTTACCTCAAATTTCTGTTTATGGTTGAAGGTCGTAAGCTATACAAACCTCTATTGATCAGAGTCCTTTGTTTAAACAGAACCTACTGTATTTATTTGTGCTGCTCCTTCAAAGTCAAACAAAAGGGCATGGATGGAGCTAAACCTCGGCATGGCAGTGTGGCCATGTGGCCCATTCACTGGGTGTACAGCTGTTTTCAATCTGCCCTGTTCGTCTTTCACATCCATATGAGATGAAGCAGGCTTCGCTTAGCCTGGGAGACAGGCCAGCAAGAGAAGATGCGCGCTTAACCCTTCACAGGCAACGCTCCGCTCCCTCTGACACTGAGAAGTGAATCTTGGGAAGCGGCACTTTTCCCTAGGGATGCAGACTGGCACTCAGTGTCCCTTGTCTGTAATCAGTCATCACATCTGGAGAAAAGGAACCCGGTTCCCTCCACTCCCATCTCCACTCCCCCACACCTGACAGGTCCTCAAAGCCCTATGCCCCTTGAGAGAGATCTGAGAAGGAGCATGGAGTTTTCTGCTGTCTCTGGGTGTTTTGAACTATCCGGCCTAGAGGATACTTTACTAAAAGTCAGGCAGGCTGGGGCCTGGGCCCACAGAATGCACGCAGGTTGCTCTTAATAGGGTCCCCTTTCCAATAGGGGACTCAACTCTCTCCCATTTCTCTCCTTAATGCCAGACTTAGCCCATGTTTTCTCAGCCTTGGCCCCGTCAACATTTGGGGCTGAACAATTCTTTGCTGGGGGAAGGCGCTGTCCTATGCATTGTGGGATGCTTAGCAGCACCCCGGCCTCTACTCACCAGATGCCAGCAACAGCCCCCACCCCCCATTTCTGTGACAGACAAAAATGTCTGGAGCACTCCTTACTATCCCCAGGGCCAGGAGGGGTGCAGGCTACCTTGGGTGAGATGCCCCACCTTGGAGAGATTGCCTGCTGGGTTGTAAATGGTAACAGCTTTGGAGCAGACAGGCTAACTCTCCTGGCCTCCTGAGAGCTGTTCCACCTTGGCCAAATGTCTTCCCCTCTCTAGTCCGGGTTTCCTCTTTAGCAAGGTGCCCAGGGAGGCCCTAACTTTCAGAGCTGGGCTGTGGACCCCATGCAAAGCCCCATGGTCAGCGCCTCATCCCAGGGCTGGACTGAGGGGTGCTGGATGCGCAGCCTTTACCCTCTCGCTGGGAACAAAGCCAGACGGCAGCCCAGAGAACTCGGGAGGGAAGGCAGCTGATGCGAAATCCACTCCACTCAAGCACCGTTGGGTTTTTAATGCCCTTTGCCAATAGTAACAACTCTTGATTTTTGGAGGGAACGTCTGGCTTGGCAAGCAGAATCAGAATAGATCTGCTTTTTCCTTCCATCCATGGTTTTGCTGAAATACAGACATTTGCCCTCCCACTTCAGAGCTGGAGCCGAAGGCAGGCAGCTAGCAAATGCTTAGGAATGAGTAGGTGAATGTGTTAAATAAATTGAAGCCCTTCGTAAAATAGGGTTATTCTCAGCTTGGCTGTTACATTCTCCTGGCTGTTAAATCTTTGGAAAATAATATATCAGGACTTGGATATAATGTGAGTGTCTTCGTTGCCAGACAGACCACGGTTCAAATCCCAGCACAGCTTCAAATGTGGAATGTTCTAGGGCAAAGTTGCTTTACATTTCAGTGCCCACCCCCCAACCCCATCAGTAGATGGACAATGGTACTGACCTGAAAATACTGCTCTGAAGATAATTAGGGTGCCATATGTGAGTCCATCAGTGTGTGTGCGGCACATTCTTGGCATTACCCAACAATAGATGCCATTATTATTATTAGCATCATTAGTATTCTTCTTGAGATGCATTTTAACTGGATATCTAATTCATATACAACTTCAAAACAACATTAAGTCCAAATCCAAACATAAACGTTTTAAGATACTCAATAACAGATCTTTGTGATATCCGGATGATTTTCTTTTTACTTCGTATTAGGATATTTTGTGTTGTGGGTTCAGTCTTAATGTTTGGGGGGAATTTTACTTCTGCCTCTTTCAAACTCTAACTTCCCAAAATTTGGAGAAGTACAACTGGTATGAAATGGAAAATAGGTGAGCAAAAGGAGGCCTGGATCTTCACGGGCAGAGCGTGCAAGCTGGGATCCCGGGTCACCTCAAGGTTCCGACCACCTGGATAGAAGCTGGGCATTTCACGGTCTACAACATGACCTCACATCTGTCTTATTCACATGGCCCCCACTACTGGGAGGCATGAAGACCTCGACCAGGCCACACTTTCAGAGTAGGAAGAGGGCCCTGGGAATTTGACCCTGAGCTCGGTTCCCTCTCCAGCCTATGTAATCGCCAGCAGGAAAGTGGGTAAGTCTCACATCGTGGGAGGGGACTTCCTGTTTTTCCCTTGTCCACGAGTCCTTAAAAAAACATCTTAGAGGATGTGAGGAGAAAGCATCTTATGGAGAAAGGAGAAATAAAATCAACACCCACAGACGATTATTCTCCCAGCTTTCCTACTTTAATCTTTTTCTTCACTTTCCTTTTCTTCCCAAGCTCCTCCTGGGCGGCCCCTCTCCCCCAGTACACCACATTCCTTGTATTTTTCTTGAAGTTCATGTTTATCTACTTTCATTGAATCTAACAGTTTGCCTTTGGGCCGTTTGTGCTAGGAGGCTTCTCTCTTGAAATATGTATTTTTGAGACATACAAAATTATATATGCAATCTATACATTAGTCATGAAACTGAATATAAAATGCCTGTAAAACAATGTCTTCAGACCCATAAACCAAGATTGGTAAACATTCCTTCCCAAGGCCCCTCTCTTTCCCTTATTGAGTAACCATCATCATGAATTTTAGGTTTATCAGTCTCTTGTTTTTCTTCAGATTTGTGCTTCTTATGTAGCTACACCTCAGCTAGGCACGGGGGTTGGTTGGGGGGGCTTGTTTTTCAGGTTTGTAAAAATGTCAGTATATTCCATATTATCTTACATGATTTTTTTTTTCTTCTCATCATTATGTTCCTAAGACTCATCCATGTTGGTGCCTGTACCTGTACGTAGCTCACTTATTTTCTCCACTATGTAGTGTCCTATTCCATTTATTTATTCTTCTGTTGATGGTAATGGGGTAATTGTCAGTTATCTGGTTTCCGGGTAGTTATTTTGCTTTTAGAAATATGACTCTATGGCATTTTTGTCCAGGTTTTCTGTGCACATGAATAAGAGTTTTTCCAGAGTACATACCTAGGAATTGAATTGAAGAGGGGTTAGGCATCTATGGATCGACTCCCACGATGAACCTTCTGATTATTAAAAGATTCTCATTATTCTGCTCCAAGGATCCACCTCGTTTCTTTCTGCAGAATTTATTTTCCAAAGGTGAGTTTCCACTTCACGACTTCCTGAGAAATGGCTGCTCAGCCAAGCTTCATCTCTGTCCTGCTCCCACACAGAGGGGTAATTTTAGAAGAAGAAAGCCCTTGGTTTGAATCCTGGCTCTTCCATTTACTAATAATGCCTTTGGACAAATCTTGTTTACCTCACAGGGCTACACTGAGAATCCAAGTAGCTACATTGAGTGGTCATGGTGACAGAAATTTTTAGAATTATCACATCTGAAGAATAGAACTAGAAGAATATTCCAGGTTCGTTAGAATGCTATGAAAGGGCAAGACAATAGAGGAATCCAAAGGGATCTCTAAGCCTAACCAAAGGTGTTCTCTATGCAGCTTATGATGGCAGAGGCTGTCATCATTTCTGTATCTCAGACTGTCTTGGACTCAAACATATAGTCACTGGAGTCAACACAAAGGGAAGAAGAGAAGAGATGCTCACGCAGGGAGATCCTATGAACTCCTCCAAGAGAAGGTAAGGAAGTTCATGTTTCTCTCCACTCTCTTCCCAAACCTCAATCTACCTTTCCCAACCCAGCACACGCACGCGCGCGCGTGCGCGCACACACACACACACACACACAGTGTTTTATGGAAGCTAGTTGTTGTATTGTATGTATATTTTTTATTTTCTGTATATTATAATGTGTTGACATCTTAAAAAACCTTTTGGGCTGGAAAGAGACTGTTCCTCTCTGGATTAACCAATTTTTTGAGGAAGCAAAGGGTGTAGCAAGTGTTTGATATGCAAACTAACCAATTCATAGCCAGACCTCCTCTCTCTGGTCCATGCACCCCAGGAGGCATATTCCTCTGCCTTAATCATCCCAGGGCCAGGTACCAGGCAAATAGAGACCACTCCTAGAGCCCAAACCCCACTGAAATTATTCAAACTCATCCATCCTAAACTGTTTCCTCTGCCCTGCCTTGCTTTTCCCATAGAAACCCCAAAAAGGCTGTGATCTAAGCGTTCACCCTGCTTCTGTCTGGTGCCTCCTGGCCACCCTGGTGTCTTTCCATGTGGCCCTGCGTGACATGCTGTGCCTCCTGTTCCCAGCACCTGTGGGTATAATAACTTCATTCTCCTGAGCCTCTCCTTGTCTCCTCTTATGGCTGCACCTGACTGACCGTCCCATAAAAGGATACAAAATCATTGTGATTTAGAATTTCTCATGACTCCTGCCCTTGTGTTATCAATGAGCAAAGTGAGGTTGATGGGGGCTGCAGTAGCATCCTGAACCTTGATCCCTTTTTCCCTTTATAATTTAATGGACCATTTACACCTAAGTGTTTTAAAATGCCTGGAAACAACCACTTTCCTCCATCCAGAAAGAAATGTGAACTCCTCCTAAAGGCAGGAGGAGATAGAGTTTTAGGGTTCACGGCAGTTCTTTGTTTATGACACAATAAGGCTTCCTGTGAGGCTACAAGGCCTTTGCAGTGAGTCCTGCTCCCAAAGCTGGGAAGGTCTGGCTAGTTTCTATCTTGGGTCTCCACATTTAGGGTATCTCTCTCTGACCCAAAGCCTCGGCACCTTCACCTGTCAAAGGGACATCATAGCAGCTGACTATTAAAAAACACAACAATCATTACAATTAATTATAGCTTTTACACCTGCTTTGGGGATTCAAGATGAAAGACACCTCATGAAGGCAGATATTGTGACAGGTGAGCTATGCAATTCATGAAACAATCTTGTGCATAATCACACACATGGAGTGTTCTTCCGTTGCCTCGAGGCTGGGTCACAGCAGCTCCCAGGCCCCTCCCAGATGCTGAGGTCCAAGGGCATCTTTCATCTCTCTTTATCCAACTCATCACACTGCAGGCTCCCGAGCTGCCCCTCCTCTGTGAGATGAGGACAACCCCAGCACCAGCTCGTAGGTCTTCTGTCCACATATAAGCGTTGTGAGTTAATTCGCAGGCCTAGTGGGAACTGTTTTAAAGGCCTTCCTTTGAATCTTGGCTCTTACTTCTTAGCTCTTAGTTCTGAGCAAATTGCTTAATCTCTCCTGGCCTCATTTTCCTCATCTATAAAATGGGATAATAATAGTATCTAACCCTTGGAGACAACATTGTTGATTAAACAAGATATTAGCACAATGCCTGGCACATAGTCAGTTTTTGCTATATGAAAGCACCAAACTTGGAGGGCATGTTTAGATCTGGCTTAAAATGAAGGTTAAGTGTTTTATAGGAGTTCCATGTGGGCTGTACTTAAAAAAAATAGGCAAGCATCTTCCAGAGTAGCTCAATTGGAGGTAATAGTATGTGGTCCGTGAGGCTCATTGATTAGGAAAGTAGTTCACGACATATGAAGAGGAGAGAATGAGAGAAACTAAAACTCAAGGGAGATGTGTTCAGGGGCAGGCACGGTCTGAGAAGATGCTGTTTCTTATGGGGGCAACTCCATATGGCCCGCGAAGCAGCCATGGCATTTCTCTCTTTCATAATGATTAGTGATTATTCTTAGCAGCTAGTTTAAAATAAACCCATAGGGAGGATCTCTAAGCAGCCTGATTCCTCAATTTGGGTGCTGGGTGACTTATGCTAAAAACTCAGGGAGAACAGTTTCCTGTGGAAGTGACCCAGTGACAATCCCACCCCTCTTCCGTGGCCGGTGGAATAAAATCAGGACAGATGGAAAAATGGCCAGAAGAATGAGGTCAGTGAGTAATGTCCCTCCTCTTAGACGGAGAACATTCACAGTGTTCTAGCACACGGCGAACACTCCACAACTCCCATTCGAAGGCACACCCAGTTCACAAAGCCCTTTTGGCTTTAATATGTCACATGGTTCTTATACAACAACGTAAGCAGGCAGGGCTAACACTGATTTATTCTCCCCACTTGATAAACACGGAAATGGAGGCTCAAGGAGGCCAAGAGTCTTTCCCAAGGTAACACAAAGTGGCCTGACCTATGCCTGTGACCTCAGAGGTTGTGTCATTTCAAGAGTTGGGCTGATGGACTAGATGGGAACATTTGAGACTGGAACAGCATGGGGACCTGGAAATAGGGATTTGGTGGTGGTGAGGCAGGGAGGGACCAGAGCCTGAAGTCATCTGTCCTTTGCAAGAGATAGGTGGACAAAATCACCTTTGGCCTTCCTGGATCTTTCTAGCAGCCACAGCTCTCAGGTCCCAGTCATTCCACCTTTCTCGTGGTCACTAACCATGCTATACGGCAGAAGAGAATGCTCTTGAGTTTGCAGGTTTGGGAGGGGTCTCTAAGGCCAGGCCCCCGGAGCAGAGAAATAGGTCAGGCTCTGGTATCTGGGCTCCTGTGTGCACCTTACAGGCCCTGGAGACCCCCCATCTTACGAAGGGTGATGTGTGGTGAGGTGGGTGGCCCCGGACAGGAAGCAGGTGACAAGCTCATGGACAGCAGGCCCTATATCTGCCTCGCCTTGTGTCAACACTGAGGGCCTATGCTGCTCATCAGTTCGTACATGAATTTTGTTTTTTCCACAGCTCTCAAATCAAATTGATTTTCAGTCATTTTAACCTGGGTTGGATCAGCAAGCCAGGTCTCCCAGGTGAAAAGCTAGTTTATCAAAGTCGTTTATCCAACCCGTCTGCAAAAGGAACAGAATTTTGAGTGGCTTTTGGTAAGCGAGTAACCAGTTCCAAAGGATGCTAGTAACGATGATCATAATTACCTTTTATGAAGCATCTACTACATTTCTTTACTTTATATCCCTTTTATATTTCTCCGACAATCCTTTGAGGTAGATAATAGCTCAATTGATGAGTACTTACTTCTCATGCATTCTCTCATTAAATCCTAACTACCCCTATGGTGTGTGTATTATTATCCCAATTATTTAGCAAATGAAACTGAAGCTCAAGCAATTGCATGTTACTTGCCCCAAGTCCCACAGACAGGACTGAGCTGGGATTCTGACTCAGTGCTGGGTGTCGCCAACCCAAACTCTTTTCACCTGGGCTTCTTGGACTAAGTCCTTTCTCCCTTATCACCAACCACGTTCGCCTTTGGATTCTGACTCACCTGGGATAGCAGGCACAATGGAGTGCTCATTTTTGAAGCAGGAACGTTGTAAAGTATCCAGAGATCGAAGAGCAGAATTAAAAACCTCCAGTGAGTGAGTGGTGAAGTCTGTGTCAGCCATTGTTGAGTCCAGCTCTGTGTCTTGTGGCCAGAGGCCCTGGGCTGGATCCCTGGCCGGCTCAGCTTCTGCATCGCTGCAGAGAGAATCCGCACAAAGAGAAACAGAAATGGAAGTCTTACTCCTCAGATAGTCAACAACATGAAATCCAGTAACCCGTGCGAATGGTTAGCACTGACCCAGGCCTCAGTGAAGGTGTGTCCAGCATCAAGTCAACCAAGAGATGGATTTTTCTCTGTTTGCCTCTTTCTGGCCAAGGATATAATCACCCTGCCATTTGGCAGGATGGTCAAACCAGCCCGCCCAAGCTGGCGACCTTCCTGGCAGAGGTGTGATTAGGGAATGAGTTTGAAATATCAGTTCTCTTCCCATTTCTGCTACTGAAGTCAGGTCTGAGTTGCCAGATTTAGCCAATAAAAATACAGAAAGCCCAGTTAAATTTGCATTTCAGATAAACCTGTACTTTTTCGGTTTAAGCTTGTCCTAATGTCTGTCCTCTCCTCCGTGCTCTGGGTGTGCATCCCTGTGCTTAGCTGTTCTTGCAGAGGAGAAGCCCCTCAAGAGGCTCAAACCGTGGATGCATCCAGCACCATCCACCTTGGATACTTGGACTTGGCCAAGGAAACATACATAGCCCCAGAGGACACAGTGGTGGTCACCATCCCTCAGCAGGGACATTTGGGGGAACTGAGGACTGCAAGCATTGGCACAGATCCTGACAAAAGAGTACCTCCTGGGGAAAGGCCTAATGTGATGGAGAGTGCCGCCATATTGGGCGTTTCTGGAAGAAGCTGCTCCCAAGTGTGTCTTTCCCACAGCCTGCCCTTTGGGGCCAGATCAGAGGGAGGCCCCTGGCTTGCACTGGCTATCCTTTCTTTTTTCTCTCTCCCCCCCTCTCCTCTCTTCCCCACTTCTCCTCTGGGCTTCCCTCCCTTTTCTCTTCAGCTTCTTTCTTCTTTTCTCCCCACCTCTGTGCTTTGTAATGTAAGGCAGGGAGCGGTTCTCAATCATGCCGAGTACCCCCAGGAGACACCTGGCAATGTCTACAGACATTTTTGGTCATCACAACCA